AATAGTTTACCGCTGCAAACGTTCGTTGCTGCGGCCGCATGGTTTTGCAATCAATGTGTGTGTGTGTGCTTCAATTGAACTCACATTCAAACGGAAACCGATACAAACAAACAAAATTATTTAATTATCACTCGAAGGCGTAGCATGAATTTCATTGAAAACGCATTTTATTATGGCCACATACACATGCAAAAGTTCTTTTGAACATCGGAGCAACAATAAAATCGCCCGAGCTCTGCACAACATTTTACTTCAGGAAACGTATAATTAATCAATCAATTCGACATCCAGATACAATTCCCCAGAATGTGTGTGCGCGCTGTTTGTTGGGTGCTCGGCTCTAGCGCACACTGCAGCAATTTGTTTATTGAAACTACAATTTGAGTTGTGTTCAGATAAGAAAGCGTTACGCAGCACGCGGATAATTATATAAGATTTTAAACTCACAACTATTTAATACCTCGCACGAGTTTTCAGGAGTTAGTGGAAATAGCGCACCGTATTCGATGCACTGGTTTTTTTTCTCTCTCTTGCTGTTGTTGCTCGATAAAATCATAGTTATGAAATTCAATAAGCCGAAGAATTTGCATCTCAAATCGCACGGCAATTTGTACTAGTCGCTCATTCTTGCACACCGTGCACTGCACATAATTACGGCGATGAATATGCCCAGCAAAAGAGAATGCGAAAATAATCACACAGCGTACATTCGGTAAATCGCAATTGGTTTTCGATGGCTTCCGCACTCGCATACACACGCGCTCGCGCGCACCTATCACATATGGAGTAAAAGACTAAACACAAATAAATGAAATGTTAGCGAAAAAGTTGTAGCGCGTTCTTTTTTTCCGATTTTTGTTTCGGAATGAGTAACAATTATCTAAACAACTGCAACAATAATTAGACGTCATGTGGATGAAGCAAAAGTTTTGCAATTCGAATGAGTTTTATTTTTCGTTCACAACGAACGAAGTTGTGTTGTTGCTTTTTTTTAAGCAAAAATGGTTTTCTGTGAGCAAATTGATTGGTTCCCTTCGACCAGCATATATGTGTCCGTTACATTTAACGAGCAAAAAATACAGAAATCGAAGGGTGTGGATTATCCAAGATTATGACTTGATCATCTCTTCTCATTGTCGGATGTTTAATATCTAATTCTCGCGTGTAATTTCGTTTTTATTGTGAACATCCCAGCCACACCTCGGCTGCGGGTTATTGTTTTCGATTCCCCGAAACGGCATCGATTCTTCTTCGTTTTTTGCTCAACAAAAGATTTATATTTAATTGATGATTAATATTATCAAATTATTCTTTAACGATCGCTCCTACGCAGAAGAATGAAAAAAAAACCCGAGCCAGTGACCGTTTGTGTAACAACTGTGGCACGGTGCGGAGTAACGATGATGTATGGAATATTGAACAAATATTGAAATAAATGAGCGAAAGAAAAGTTCTTTTTTTTTCTTTGGGAAATGCAATTTCTCAATCGAATTCGAGCACCGAGATTTGTGACTGAATTGAAAAGTTTCGCCAAAAGTCAGCGAACCTTGATGACGGAATGCAAACGAATTTTCCCGCATTTCTATTTGTCGTTTTTCGGAAATGCAATCCACGAATAAAAGTTTGTTAAGCAAAAGTTGCGGTTTTTCTTTCCCAAGTTCAGGCATCTCATGCGACATTTTGATTTCTCAACTCTTTGGCAAAAATAATTCAATCCCCAAGTTGAAAGTTGAACGAGAGAGAGAGAGAGAGAGAAAGACCGACAACTGGAAAATTATATTGAAAAACTTTTGCCATGTCATTTATACTACCTGAATGAGCCACAATCATTGCACTTTCTGTGGGGAACCAGTTAATAGTGAAATGAGATGTTTCATTCAACCAACAAAACGGGAAAAACAACGAAATAATATTGGATTTCAATTTGTTTTTCTAGCGTATAAAACGCATTTCGCTCCTTCTTTTTTTTCTCCTTACAAACGAATTTATTTTCATTATTACGAATGTTGTCACCTAATTTCAAGGCAGAAATGTTTGCATTTGGTTCAACAAACAATAAATAAGTCAGCGCGTGAATAAAGAAACAGACAGTGACAAAGAGACACAATTTTACATTATTTTTCAAGCACACCGACCAAACCAGATCTTTTATTCTCTCTCTGTGTTTGTCTCACTCTCTTTCTCTCAGATCCCAGAGGGAAGAAGAAAAAGCCGAAGAGAAAAGATGAAGAAAAACGCTGTGTTCATGTTCAAGAGCACTCCTCAACGTAGAGCAAGAGCACAAAAATTGTCACGCACAACACATTACCCGTTTGTTTGCAGCTGCGCCAACGTTCTTTTATTTTATTGTGTGTCCGAAATTCAAGTCGTCGTCGTCTTTTTTATATTATTTCCATTTTGTTTGCTTTTTTTTCTACTTAAGTCCTGTTATCTTATTCACCATCCCACCGAAATATGTGTACATTTGTACACTCACGAATGACAACAGCGATGGAGATGGAGAAAAAAAAGGAAATCACAGAGAAATAAGACAAAAATGTCGACATGAATGTGAATAAATATAAACACAGTGAAAACTGTTAACATTTAATTAATTTATAATCATTCTTTGTTGCGACAAGTTAAAAGAAGTGCTCCTTCGCATGTGCACATCCTACTGTCATCGTCATCGTCATTGTCCGGCGTGTGTGCTTCAAACAAAGACAAGAACGGGCAAAACGAAAATTTGTTTTGCAACAGACTTTCCGTCGCGCTTTCAGACATCAAGCAAAACATTTGCATTTGTGTCGGCTTTGTTCTCGTTGTCTTTCGCCTCTTTATTGAGAATTTAGGATGCGACTTTTTGAATGAAGGAGGAAAAATGATTAAACGATTACTCCGAATGAGCGGAAAGAACAAGAGCCAGCCGATAGCATCTTCGATTGCGTTTGAATTGAGGAAGCATTTTTCATAGCGAACAAAGGCCATCGTGTCTCGAGTATTGTGTGCGTGAATGATGGATTTTATCGACGATTTTTTTTTCTCCGTGTCGAACGACAGTGACAACATCAATGGAGCACACAGAAAAATCAGAGTTCGGAAAAAAATGAGCATCACATTCAATAGAAAATTGACTACCTCTGATGATGCCGTCCTATGGGACCATTGCCTTTTTTCTCTCTCTGTCTATTTTGGTGTTTGTTTACTCCAAGCCCGAGAAATTCTATCGCTGCACCGAAAAAATGATGTTAATAAAAACGACAACGACAAAGGTTCGTCATTATTATTATTGTTATTACGAATTTTGTGTAAACTTGCATAGGAACGGCCATCAAACACTGACGAACCGAACAAATGAACGCGCTCGATTCAAACGTGAGGTAAAAAACAAATAGAAATAGAGGTTTTTTTTGTTCGTCTTTCGACTATGCTTTGATTACCCGTTCGTGCAGCGACAGAGAGAGAGACCGTGCGTTTCTTGTCCTCTGTTGACGATTGGTGCATCGTGCGCAACATATTGGTGGCTTATTATAAATTTATACGATGTGATGGAGCGCGTCACTGATATGCGATATCCGATCGTATCACACTGGCGTCGTCATCATCATCATCGTCGTCGTCGTCGTCATTGTCGTTGAATATGAAGTTCCTGATGCGAGATATTTCACTCATCCTGTTCGCACAATAACGACTTTTTTACGAGCGCATTCTATCTCTCTTTTCAAATCCAATATATTTCTTTGGCTTTTTGGTAAAGGATGATGTTTCCTTTGACTTTTTCGGCTGCTGGCGACAAAAATCCCGAATGAAAATTGATCTCTTGGCGCATATCAAATAGGGACACAACAAATACGCATACACGGTGTATTGTGTAAACACAGGAAAATAATAAAAAAAGATCAAACAGCACGAAACAAAAATATGCATTCGCCTATAAATATCAAGTATAAACAATAATTGTACGCCAAACGACACAAAATACAAAATTTCAGCCATCGAAGCAGACGGAAAAAAGCGAAATCAGTCGAAGTCAAATGAACAAAATATATATATGATGCGATTAACTTCGACTTTACCCTTGCACGCACATTAAGAAAGACCACCCAATCATGATGTTTGCATTTGTCTTTTTACCCAAATGTAAACAAACACTCTTTCTTCTCTCGCTCATCATTTGAACTCGGTGTGTGTGTGTGTGTGTGTGTGTGTGATGACGGTGCATTTGTCAAGAGGCGCAAAGGAAAACAGCAATGCAAATAGAATGGTCCGCTTTGTGATTTTTTTCTTTCTTTAGGTAAATATTATAATTCATCGACAGGACAAAGTTGCCGCCGACTTGAACGTTTTGCGCCACAAAACCAGTTTATCACAAACATAAAATCAAAAACGCATTCAAAAGGTAAGAAATAGATATCTAAACAAATATTAAACGCGATATCAATAAAATTTAATATATTGAATAAACATCAGGCAAATCACATTGCCAATAATTCCCGCTTCACTGCCATTGCACCGGCGAATGACAATAGAGAGAGAGGCAAAGAGGAAAAGCAAATGAGAAATGGCAAATAGCTAAGCAAACATCCATTTAGACGTTTATTGTGAATTAAAGAAGAAATGGGGATTGAAGCACATACACATAAATTCCGTTGCCGTTTCGACGACTGTTGTGCGTTCGGTTATGGGTTTTTGCTTTATGACCCTTTTGTTTATTCGGATTTCTTTCTCTCTCTGTGTGTGTGATTTAATATTTACCGGCGAGTTTTTTCTTCACCAATTCGAAGGACTTGTGCAAACAAAATCACGAATGAAAAAAAGATGGAAAAAGTAGTAGTCAATCGATTTTAAGTCTTAACTTGATTGAAAATGGTCATCAAAATCATTGAATATTCTGGACGATGCGTCATCGTCGCTTTCAGTGGGAATTTGAAGGGAAAAAACTGCTTCAAATCAATCTTATTTCTTAGGAAAGACACAAAATAAATGAAGAACAAAACAGACTGAACAAAAAAAAAACTTACCGAAAACATTTTGGCTGAAGTGCAAGATCAATAAAAAAATGATCGTTAATGCATTGCCCGTTAAGGATTTTTGCCGATATTCCTTTATCCAGTGCATATTGGTTGATGTGTGTTATTTCGTTGTTGTCGATTCAACGTCTCCTTTTATCTTTACTCGTATTTATTTTATTTCTCGCCTGCTTTTGATTTTTGATGTTGCTTTCTCATCAAATTTTATTTTTCCTGCTCTCGAGCCAAGCGAACAAACAAAAAAAAGCGTATGTGAAGCAGTCTTCTTCGTGTTGAGAGTTTATTTGATTATACGATGGTTCGAAGTTCTTCTTCGTCGTCGCCTTTTTCCCCGCTCTCTCTCGTATTTATTTTGCACTTGTAAAATTCAAAAATGTCATCTCGATTTTTCTTTGTGAAATCGTTTTTCGATGTTCAGAGTTTTTTTTTCGATCTCTACTTCTCTGTGCGGTTGTGTTGTATTCGTCTTCTGGGGATTTTTTATCAGTCTCTTTTGTATTCCCAGAGCGATTTCGTCCTCTTTGTTCTTCGAACTCACAAAATACCGATTTCAAAATAATGACGAATAAATTTCACGTGGGCTCACTTCAGCTCGCTTGTTATCTCTCTCGCAGGTTTTTCTTATTAAATTAAAACCGATTGAGTCGTGAATGTGGCCGTCTGCCGTTTTTTTTTCTTCTTAAACTTCGGTCTCTTTCTCGAGTTTAACTGCAAGCAAATGCAAGAATCGTGTTCAACGGAAGAATGTGAAGAATGTCAGAAGACCAAGTTCGAGTGCATATTAACGCCGTCACTCAATCAATTGATAATTTTTCGTTCGTTAATCGCCGTAAGCCACTTGGGGATGTGCGGTTTAAGTGCTTGTTGCCGATTGCATATTTAATATATCTGTGGCCGTGTTTCTTTCCGTTCGTCCGTTCCTTTCGTATTTTGGAATGCGACACGAAACTCACTTGGTTTTTGGCAATTTATTTACTTTGATCTTTCGACTTGCAATCCTCACTGCTTCGCTTGGTTGACTCCGTGAAGCGCAGTAAATAAGCGCAGTCCGTTTTCTGCAGTAAATGAAAAACAAATAGAAACAAAAAGAGAGAGAGAGAGAAAAAGAAATAGATTAGTAAATGGGTTTATGCTTTTATGTCATGTTGTATTGAGTGAAGAAGAGTATCGGAGTTGTTTGCGTTGCTCCCGTCAAAAAGTCAATTGTTTAAATTGTGCACCGAGAAATTTCCGAGGAAAGTAAACTTTAGTGTATCGAACATGCAGTACGCTAGCTCCCCGAACTACACGTCCATCCAAGTACCCGAAGCAATTAAATGATACTCATTTATTTACAACACACAGGCAAACAAAGTGTATTGCGAGCATTTTGCTATTTTCCGACTAATAATAATATTTAATTTAGAAATGCAGAGAATGGAAAATTATTATGAACCCTTTCACTTTAGAATGGTTGCTGATGATGATGATGAATGTGCATTGCATGGAGCGCCACTCAACTAACGAGAGAGCGGGCAAATTCGCGGTACGATTGTTGTGTACAAATATTCTCCGAAATAACAGAATACCATAAATAAATAAATAGATAAACAATGAGCGAATGGGAGAGAGAGAGAGAGAATTTGCCATTTCAATAAAAATAGCTCTGTTTGTTATTCCATCCGAAGATGAACGATGTAATTTGGTGATGGAGTGACAGCGAGCGAGCGAGTGTGGCCAAAGAGCAAAAATGGCATGATGCCATGTTCGAATTTATGCGGTGGCATTATCATTTTGGCGTGTATATACGACGTGTTGTATCGTACCTTTTTTGCCTCATCGTTCAGTTGTTGAATTATGAATTGGCCAAAATGAACAAACAGTTTTCGCTTTGTGTATGTGTGCAAAATGTTGACAATTGCCATTTCATTACGCAACATGATAATTTCCCAAACAAAAATAGAGCTCAAGTGCTCGGTTATTTTTCTCTCTCTCTCTCTCTCTCTCTCCCTCTCCCTCTTCCGCTTTATCTCTTCATTTTGTAGCTGGCAGCAACAAGCGTACGCAGAGGTTAATTGATTCAACCAATTTTTCTGTGACGCCAACGCAAAAGTGACAGAGAGATAGAGAGAGAGCAAAAAAAACGAGCGTTTACATCTCTCTTTTGTTGGCCCATTGGAGCACTCTCAACAAAACAAAAGCCGAATCGATTAAACTCAAACTCGTCCGTTTGTGTGTGCGAGCGTGTGAATTCGCATTTGGTGAGTTTTACATTAATTTTATTGCTTCGGTTTCACGGAATATGCTCTCGGTCGAGCGTCTTATCACGGGCGGTGCTTGGTTTGCTTCTGCTGCTCCACCACCATTCATCATGCGAAAACCCATTTTTCGAAATGACACTTCATTTATTATACACGACGTTTGTAAAACTTCCCGTATTTGCGTCTCAAGCGCAAGCACTTAAATCGATTTCTCAGTAAATTTCCAAACGTATAGAACACACAAAATGGGATGAAAATAATCGAGCGAAAAATTCTAGAGAACTCGGAGAGAGAGAGAGGCTGGATGTGAAAATCGTTTGTGTTTTAAACCTAATTGCCATTCAGCCGGTGAACATTTTTTCTCTGCCGTTCATTTGCAACAAACACAAAATGTCATTGGAATGTTTAATACATTTATAAAGTCTATTTACGATCCACTCAAAGCGAACGCCTCGAGACAATTTGAAAATTGAATGAAAACACATTCGTTTTATCTCTTTAACTTGAATTGGTTGCATACACATATAAAATTGGTAACGAGCAAAGTGTAGACAAAAAAAGGCAATTGCAGCGCCGCTGAATGCCGAGAGAGGGAGATAATTTGACCACCAACATATCAATTCAATAGCCCATAAAAGCGATTTCCGTTGATTTTCGACACTCTCCAATGATTTTACAAATTAAGCTATTATTGTTATTATTATTGAAAAGGCCATGCTTTGAATGCACCACCAAACGATCGACGTCGATTCATGTGTGTGCTGGTGTTGCTGTTGTTGTTGTCGTGTCGCTCTCTTATCACTTCTTCGCTTTTCTTCCTTCGATTACTCAACAAATGTCAACTGCATCGGTGAATAAAGCATCGCAGCACGATGCATCCCGCATGATCTCAAAGTCATAACACGATGCAACAACAACGACAACAAACCAATAAAAAATGAGCATACGGTCGGTGTAGTAATTTATTTATTTGATTATTACATTGTTTATTTCCACGTTTCAGATCGTAAATTTTCGATTTACACCATGCTGAACATCGCGTCGCACCATCACCATCGCCTATGTGTGTGTGAGAGAGAAACACGAGAGAGAATGTGTGAGCAACGACAATGTGCCCACGAAGATGAAAAAAATATAAAATATATCGACGCTTTACATTATCGCGCCGAGATATCGCCTGTGCTCCGAAACAAACTCTGGATTGGAAAAAAAAGAGAGCGCGTCAACACAAACACACTCACTCACATGAGTATGTGGCCCAATCGCTCGATAAGGCTGCAAGAAATAGCGTTACAGTGCATCGAACATATATTTATTATGGTTCGATTGCAAGCAGCTAACATCTGATGATAGGTTCTCTCTTGTTGTTTCGATGCATTTGCTTTGGATTTTTCTTGTTTTTCGGCCTCAAGCCCGCAGACACAACCGCAGAAGAAGGCAACGAGAAAAAAAAGATACGGAAAAATTATTGATTGGCTAGTGCATAACGTCAAATGGCTTTGCATGTAATAAAAATACAATTATCGTCAGTGTGATAATAATTTTTATTCGTTTTCGGGCATTCGCTTCGCATGACGTTTTTTTTCTCTCTCTTTCGCTCGATTTCGGAGTGCAAAAGAGTGTAAGCGGTTTTTGTGTTAAGAGCGTCGTCGTATTGTGTGTGCAATTTCATTCTGATTTAAATGAATTGGTGTGAAAACGTGTTTCTTTAAGATGGGGAAGAGGAAAAAAATAACGAATTGGTATCGATTTGAGTGAGCGAGCAGCACAGAAAAATTGGTTGCAAATGTAGCGTGGGCATCGTCATAAATTGACTTCAGTCCACACCATCAGATTAAGATTTTGTGGCCTGTTTATTTCGTTACGGTTTTCTGCTTAAAATGATTCTCGCCTCGAAAATGCGAGCAAAAAAAAAACGCGACACACATACATAAGCAAGCAACAGAGCGATAGCAAGCCGTTTCGGTATCAATCATGTTCGAGGATCTGCTTAACTTCATATGCCACACAAACATGACAAATTTGCTCGTTCATACTATATCTGATGCACTCTCTGTCTGTCTCTCGCTATCTGGATGCTCTTCATTGCTGCGCTCGTTCGATTGAAAACGGTAAAAAAAATTCACGTCGCCATCGTGGTGCATAAAATGCCACATTTGGTGGGCGTAATGCACTTATACCCAAGCCAAACTTGGTTCGCTCGTCATGGTGTCTCTCTATCTCACACTCACTTTATCGCTTGTCTCGCAGCTTGATGTGTGATTGTTTGGGATCGTATTTTTAATAGACTCGGCTATTTAATAACTCAATCAATTTTTTTTCGGCTTCGGTTTCGGTATGAGTTGTGTGTGTGTGTGTGTGTGTGTGTGTGTGTGTGTGTGTGTGTGTGT